AAGCTTCTGCATGTGAACAATTTACATTCCAAATAGATAGGGAGCTAATAATTCCAAGAAGAAAGCAAGAGGAAGGGATGAGAAAAGGGCGGAGGGAGAAAACATTTGACCGGAAAACTCTGTTTGAAATGTTTTCTGTTCAGGTTAAATTGTGCCGACGTGTTTTTCATGGAGTGATTAACTGTGTTAGTTGAATGAGTTGCTACTTTCTCCCTGGACGAGGATACCATGCTATCCCCGTTGCATAAAAGATTTTCTCCTAATTCATACTAATTAACAGTTTTTCATTTTTCCTTATATTTCTATTAATTCTTTTTTATACTTACATTATTTTTAAAATCTTTAATTCTTAAATTTCAATGCCACAATAAAATATCTTAACAATAAATAAAACTTCATTAGTCATCAAAGATTTCAAGAAATACGGGACAATTTGAGACATAATAATTTTAAAAGTTGCGCAACTTAATCTTCATCGACATAACAAAAACTAAATCTTCTTTTCCTTTTAAAACAACAAAAAGAGATAAATTCATCACCTAACAAAGTCTCCCCGTCTCCCGTACATCAAGAGGACAACCAAAGTATATAGTCAAAGTCAAACTATAAAATCCAAAGCAACTTATTTCGTGGAAATATCCGAAGCCAGACAGCACAGACTAGAGAGGAAAAATGCAATTCGTTCTGCTTCTGAAAATGAAATTTTTGTTAAGAAACAAACGCAGTAGACTCGAAAGAGCTTATGACGAAGAATGCTTCCTTCTCATCAAGATCGATTAAGGCCCATATAACAAATGAAAGGGCCTATAAAGAACCCATAAACTGGCCTTTATCACAATGATCCAAGTAGTATGTTTTCATCCATTGGTATTTACAAATTAAAACCCTGATTATTAGATTATGATGGGCCCAGGAAAACCGAGGCTGGCCCAGCAGTATCTTTTAGGTTTTGCACTTGGATGATCTAAGAACGCGGAGAAAAAGACAGAGCTTGAGAAAGAAATTTACCAGTGATTTCATGCTTGTTGACATTGAGGAAGAATACTTACAACTTCCATACAAAAACGCAAGAGTTTCAACATTCTCAGTATAATCTTTCTTGATGTAAGAAATTGTTTGTGTGGATGATCCATTCCCCTCCATTTTCGGTTGGGCATATATTTCAATGCAACATTCAAGCTTTTTTGAAGCAGAATATTATGTCAAAGGTGATGATGACATTTATTTGCATCCTGGTATGTAACATTGTTTGCATATAAGTTTAATCCTTCTATTGTAAACTTTGTTGCTAATCCTAGTTTGTAGTATACCACTCCTGACATTCAATTATATACTTTCTCTTTCCCCTCTTAATCATATCCTTTCCTGTATCATTGTTTGCTTTAGTGTTTTTTTTTTTCCCCGTTATGATTACTTTTGCACTCTAATTTCCATCATACTTTTGAGGGAGGATGTTATTTGATTCCTAGTTGGATTGTGATTTAACTTTCTGAAATGCATTCAAGAGAAATGTTCTTTTCAAACATTGTTTTGAAAGAAGATAATGGTGCCATTACTGTACATAATTTTGCAAGCCTGATTTCTTTATATCAAGTACTGGATGATTAGTTTATTTTTAGAACTGTCTAAAATGTGCTACTACCCTCCCTAAATTTGTCCATTACCTTGGAAATTTTCTAGAATTTAATTTATCATAAAATCCAATTTTCCTATCTATTTTTCATGTATGAATTTTAGATTAACTAATTTTGTTAGTCCAATGCAGATGAATCACCTTGTCTCAGATTTTATTAAACCATTATATTTCATTTTAAAATTCAAAATTGAAATCTTATTAAAATTGCGTTACTTGTTACTTCAAATTTTAGAACTTGGGATTGTATCACACTCGATTATGATCGGCCTATCCCTAGGAGTTTCTAGCAGTCCTTGCACAATAAGGCCTTTGATTGTAGCATCATCTTTCCATCAATTTTTCGAAGGATTTGCACTTGGAGGCTGCATCTCCCAAGCTCAATTCAAGACCACGTCAGCCACCATAATGGCATGCTTCTTTCCGTAACAACCCCTATTGGGATTGGCATTGGAACTGCAATTGCTTCCTTCTACAACCCGGATAGTGTTGGTGCTCTGACTGCGGAAGGCATCTTAGATTGTTTGTCAGCTGGTATTCTAGTGGACATGGCGTTGGTGGGTCTGATTGCCGCAGATTTTGTCAGGAGGAGAATTAGCTGCAATTTCAGACTTCAGGTGGTGTCTTACTGCATGCTCTTCCTTGGTGCTGGATTGATGTCTTGGCTAGCAATCTGGGCTTGAACAGCTGATACAAAGATCATTATTCTTTTTGGTTGCATTTGTCAGGGGGTATCCAATTACTACAGGCGGAAGTCCATCAAAGTTTCCCGTTATATGGTACTCCGTATCATATAGCGGGATGATTAGGGCAAACGAAAATCAAATGCAGCAGGCTTATATTGTGTTTTGTCTTTAGATTCCAAATAACCTGTTTTGTTCCTTTGCTATTGCTCAACATATAGAAGCATAAAGGCTGATGACTCCACAAAGAAAAAGATCATTTCGATCATATTGAATGTAATTAGAATTTCATTGGTCTAAATCGACCATTCTTTCTAATGTTTGCCTAATTTTCTGTTTAAGGATGAAAGAATTTTTTGCACGGTGAAAATGAAGTTACCCATATTTGTTTTTCCGATTTTTGACTTTAATTTGCAGGAAATTTTTATAAAGATCATCAAGACAAGCTCAACATATAAATGCTCTAACAATGAGTCTCTCAAGAACAACCTCAAACAGACTAACAACCTCAGACTGATTTTTGCTCATTTGAGCTTTAATTTCTTGTTGTATCTTCAAAATCTTATTTTCTGTTCTCTTTCTCATCCATTTTTGCAATTCCGTCATCACCTCAAGACGGCGTAGCTTCCCGATCAATAAATGTTGCTCTCTCATCCGATCCCTGTTCTTCACTATGTAGATCATCACTTCCTCTATTGCATACGTATCCCTTGGGCGGTGCGCTTTCTTTAGTCTTTTGAT